TTTGTCCTTCCTGAGGAGTTCTCTGCTAATTTTGGGCTTCTTCCCTCTCCAAATGAAATTGGTGGTTTTTCCAATTCTTTGAAGAAGGTCGTTGGTATTTGAATCAGAATAGCATTAAACTTATAAAGTGCTATGGGTAAGATTGACATCTTTACTATGTTGAGCCTTTCAATCCACGAGCATGGGATGTTCTTCCATTTGTGGAGGTCGCTTTTGGTTTCCTGTAGTAGCGTCTTGTAGTTTTTCTTGTATAGGTCTTTAGTTTGTTTTTGTTTTTTTTGTTAAATATATTTCTAGGTATTTCTGTTTGTTCTTGGCTACTTGATCTCCTCTTCCATGGTCCTGTCTGATGTGTATAGCAAACCTACCGACTTGTGTGTGTTGATCTTGCATCCTGCCTTTCTTCCATATTCCTCTATTGGTATAGGTACTCCCATTGTGGGAAAATGGGATTCTTGTCAGATGGATGGTTTCCAAAGATATTCTCCCAGTCATTAGCTTGCCTTTTTACTTTTTTTTTGCTAATGCCTTTTGCTTTTGATGAACAGAGGTTTTTAAAAATTTTTATGAGGTCCTATTTCTTTATTTTGTCTTTTCTTCATTGTACTTTTGTTATTGTTTTAGATAATCCGTTGTTGAAAGTTAGGCCTAACAGCATTGCCCCTGCTTGCACAATTAAACATTTTATGGCTTTAGTTTGGATATGTAGATTCTTAATTCATTTTGATTTTACTTTTATATATAGTATGAGAATCATTGGAGTAGGTCAGCTATGGTTACCATTGATTAAAGTCAAATATGTAAAATAGGTTATCAAAATTACATTAATACTGAGGAAGGAGGATTTGATAATTCTTTGACACTGCTTGAAATGCATTAAGACACTTAATGGGTACATATGCAAAATTGCTTCCAATTTCTCCAGCTAAAATCTGCTGTTCCTCTTTCTAACGATAAGTATAGTTCTGCCCCCTGGTATTAAAGCTTTGCCAGAATAGTGGTGGTGTTATTAGTGACTATTTTTATTGCATGTATTTTTACCCTTAGTACAACCATTGTAATTCTTGTGATACTGCATCCCTTATGTATCTGTCCTTCGTAGAGTTGTGTGGTGAACATAATATTTAGCTACATTATCTTATCCTTATATCAGAAGCATTATATTCTTTTGCTCAGTGGGCCCATCAGTTAATAAAAAATGTCATTGAGCAGGTTTCAATGTTTGCTACTACTCCTATATTTAATGTTTCTGTGAGCATTTTCCTCCTTATATCATTTTGCTTGCTATCTTCAATTATTTCTGGACAATAAATGTTTAAAAGGGGAATAATGGATCAAAGCATTTGGGAGCGTTTATGACATTTGGTTAGATATCTAAGTCATTTTGTATGCTTTCTCCCCAAAGACTGCTCTTTCCCAGCCTCCAGCAATGTCTAAGTAAACCCATTTTAACACAAGAATACCCATATTGGAAATTAATTTTATATTTAAGACTATAAAAATACTCCAGAGTTAACTGCATTATTATCCAAATAAGCTACTTGATAACACTGAAACAAATGTGAAATGAGATGTATCCTAAAACCAAAAAGAAGACCATTCTATACTAACTGATTACTGTAGTATCTCCCCTTTGCAGGGTAGATGGATGGCAAAGTAGGAAAGAGGACTTGGAAAATGAAGACCTGAGTTCAAAACCTGACTTCCATTTCCTAACTACCCTCTGAAAGCCTGAGCTTTTCTTATCTGGGTAAAGCTTGTGTAAGGTTGTTTCCATGAGGATTGAATAAGGGAACGTAATGGAAACACCGGACTTAGTAGCGTAAGGCCTAATAGTAGAGTCAGAATCTAGCTGGGATGGGACTGAAAAGAAGAATTTGGTAGACATTTATTATTGTTGTTATGATGCTAAACCAAAAAAGGGAGTTTGTCTCCGCAACTAGGCAATCCAGTGTGTGCCAGACTGAGGCATAGCTGAATCAGAGGTATCAATACATCTCTCAGCTTTGCTTTCCTCTGCATGTTGGCCAGGGTTCCTGGAGGAAACAAAAGGTCCACTCAGAGGGTTGATTAAAAGGAGTTTACTAAGGGGTCTTTTTACAGAGATGAGAGCATGGTTATGAGAAACCAGCAAAGGATGATGAAGCACTGAGGACTTACAACAGCTGGAAGTCCTACCCTCTCCTTGGGCGAAGGACAAGGGAAGGTTAACGTTATCAACCAGATGAGTGCTTTAGCTGTAGCAGAGGAGCAGTGGCCGGTGTTAGAGAAACAGAGCCCCTGCCAATCCATATCCATCAGGAAAGAAGCCAGGGGGTTATATGCCATGTGCTTGCTCTCTCCCTCTACCACTTGCTAGGGCTTCTCATTCCCTGGACCCAGCTAGAGGCCACAGGGGTCTAACTGATTCCAGAACCAAACATACTGCCATGCAGTTGATTCCACCCCTTAGCCTGCCATAAAATTAGCTTCACGAGACACAGAGCAGGATGAGGGCAAAGAGAGGCTTCACAGTGCACTCTGCTTTGCCGTCATTCCTGAACAGCATCTCTCCACGTGGCAGCCAGGATTTGGTTCATTGTCCCTGCAATCTCAATCTTAAAAGGAGAAGCAAGGACCCTCCATTTCTCTGCTTATATAACAACTCTAGAAGGCATTGACTGGCTCTGTTTGGGTTACAAGAAGAATCTTTAAGTGGAATTTAAAGACAGGATACCTAGCACCCACCCCATTCCCATTCCCAGCATGCTTTCTCCCCAGTACCCTCTGTTTATTTTCCCTCTCAGCTTATTGGCTGTCATATAAGGCTGCATTTCATTCGTATAATGAAGACTCAAAAATAGTGGCAATAAACCAACGAAGTTGATTTCTCCCTTATTTAACAAGATGTCCAAGGTAGGATGGGCCCAAGTTGGTGTAATGACTTCAGGAACTTACTAGTTGGTTCTTGGTGTGTTAGTTTGGGTTGACTAGAGAAACAAATCCAGTGACACTCATATCTATATAAGAAAGCTTTATATCAAAAAGTAATTGTATATTAAGAAGATATCCCAGCCCAGGCTCCCTGCAATCACCTGTTTCACCATCTGCAGAATGTGTCTTTTGGCCTCGTGGCTAAAAGATGCTGCTCCACTTCTAGTCTCATATCTGTGTTCCAAATGGAAAGAAGTAGAGGAATTGTCTAGCACCTGTATCAGGTGAACAGAACTTTCTCAGAAATCTCTAAGACACACTCATTTCTATCTCCTAGAAGAACGGAGTCACTTCTGCCACAAAATAGAAATGGACATGTCATGTGACTGCCTTTGAAGTATAGGAAGCTGGGAAATGTAGTTGCTTGGCTGGGATGATTGCAAGTTGTGGGCAAACTAGCAGAATGACTGGACCAATGATATCCATGCCTTTGGTTTTCACATTTGAAGGTGGCATGGTGTTCTGAGGGCTTGAATGGAAAGTGTTAAATATAATAACTCAGAACAGAGAAACTGAGTCTAGATTTAAATAAAATCCATCATAATCAGTTCCAAAAACATGTAATAAGCATCTATTATGTACCTTGCTTGCTGAAAATGAAGAGGCCTTGAAACACTTGCTGATGAAGATCAAGGATTACAGCCTTTGATATGGATTACAACTCAAGGTTAAGAAGACTAAAATACTCACCACTGGACTAATAGGTAACATCATGATAACTGGAGAAACGGATGAGATGTTCATGGATTTTGTCTTGCTTTGATCCACAATCAATGCGCATGGAAACAGCAGTCAAGAGATCAAAAGATGCATTGCATTAGATAAATCTGCTGCACAAACCTCTTTAGAGTATTGAAAAGCAAAGATGTTACTTTGAGAACAAAGGTGTGCCTGACCCAAGCCATGGCATTTTCCATTTTCATATATGCATGTGAAAGTTAGTAAGGAAGACCAAAGAAGAATCAATGCCTTTGAATTATCGTGTGGAAAAGAATATTGAAAGTACTTTGGACTGCTAACAGGACAAACTGATCTTCTTGAAGTCTAGCCAGAGTACCCCTTAAAAGCAAGGATGCCAAGACTTCAGCTTACATCCTTTGGACATATTGTCAGGAAACACCAGTCCTTGGAGAACGACATCATGCTTAGTGTGTTAGTCTGGGTTGACTAGAGAAACAAATCCAGAGACACTCATATATGTATAAGAATTATATCAAATAGTAATTGTATATTAAGAAAACATCCCAGCCCAGTCCAGATCAACTCCGTAAGTCTGATATTAGCCGTATAAGTCTGATACTAGTCCATGAATCACTCTTCAGACTCACAGAGTCACATGCAATAATGGAAAATGTAGGAAGATTACAGGCTGGTTGGTGGAAAGTCTTGCGGATCCAATGGTGGTGGTTGCATCTCCAGAGCTCTGGCTGCCATCAGATTGGCTCCATGTGGCTTGTCAACAGGAAGGTGAAGCAGAGAGAGTGTGGCCCGATCCCAGGAGCAAGAGAGGAAGTTCCCAGAATCCTCATGAGAAAGCCACACCCACAAAGAAGCATCATCAGGCTGTGATTGACAGGGTAGACACCACCCCTTCACTCTTAATACCCTCAAGCTAACAGGAGATTCTGTAACTACCACACTTGGTAAAGGGGAGGGGCAGCAAAAAAGAGAAAGGCGCTCAGCAAAATGGATTGACACTGTGGCTGCAGCAATGCATCCAGGCATAGGAACAATTGCAGGGATGGTTCGAGACCATGCAGTGTTTCGCTCTGTTGTGCATAGGGTCGCTGTAGGTCAGAACTGACTCCATGGCACCTAACAACAATGTACCTTTTCATTTTTAGTGCCTGCTTTAAAAACATATGCTTATATGGTAATATCTTTTACATTGTTGATGTGCTTGTAAACCTGAAGAGGATTTAAGACTACAGTATTTCATCTAATACAAACACTCACGCTCTCTTCCCTTGTCCTACTCAGACGTGTGGGTAAAGAAGTATAATTTAAATCTCTTTTTCTCTCTTTAGAGGAAACGAACAAAATTTGTTGCCTGTGATTTTCTGACAGAGTGGTTATACAAGTAAGTTGTTAATTTCTTTGAATATTTAATGACCTTACAGGTTTAGTCATGTTAATTTCCAAGAACAATGGCAACAATTAACTTGAATATTTGCTTATTGTTTTCTTGACCATCAAACACAACACCACCATCAGTCATAACCCAAAGAGGATGGATGAACTGTTCACAGAATTCTACTCTATTCCATTTGTGGCTGACTGGCTCAAACATCAGTAAGTATCAGCACCAAACCTTAAACAATTGATTCCTAATTTTAAGACCAATTTAGCGATAGCTTTCTCCAATCTGACAAAACTAATCTATGCAATCCACCAGGAGCCCAGCTCAGTCTTAATTGTGTCTCTTATCTCTGTGGTACTTTTCAGTGGCCATTCTCTCTATGTGGTAATGATTCCAGAAGAACTTCAGCAAGAAAACTTTTATAAGCATTCTCGTACTAAGTAATTTATCTCCTTTCTCTCTGTTTCTGTGTCCCTGGCCTCCACCCTTATTTATTATGTTATTTTAATTTTTTTCCACTTTTTGTTTTGTTTTTTTATTTTAAAAAATCATTTTATTGGGGGCTCGTACAGCTCTTATAACAATCCACATATCAGTTGTATCAAGCACATTTGTACATATGTTGCCACCATTATTTTCTAAACATTTTCTTTCTCACTTGAGCCCTTGTTATCAGCTCCTCTTTACCCCTCTTCCTCTCCCAACTGCCCACCCTCATGAACCCTTGATAATTTATAGATTACTTTTATTTTCATATCTTACACCGTCCACTGTCTCCCTTCACCCACATTTCTGTTCCTCCTTCTAAGGCTGGGGGCCGGGGGTGGGAGTGGGGGTGGACCTTGTACGTCAATCATTGTGATTGGTTCCTTGTTTCACCCCCATCTCTCTCCACCTTCCCCCTACCCTCATGGTATCA